GTTTAAATTCAAATTAGTTTCCTTTTCCTTTTAATGTTTACTATTTACAGTTGTTTTCAATTTTTATTTACTAAACAAAATGAATGATCAGTTAACATCAATTAGATCGTGTAATCGAAAGAAAAGAAAAAACCATGAAAATTCATCATCTGATTACATTTTCAGTTTGCCTAATTCATCAAGTGTGGATTCTGAACCTATTGTATCATCACCCGATGAAACATCTTCAACGTTGTCATGTTTTTCTTTCGAAAGTGAAAATTCTCTCAGTGACTCAGCGAGTGAATCTAATTTCACTGTGGACAATTTTTCTGAACTCAATGAGTTTTTCACTCAACCAGATTTACTGAGCTACACAGAAGCTGTTCTTTCAAATATTCTTTCATGTCCTGGAATCAGTTTAAGTTCGGCGGAAAAAATTGTTCATACATTGAATGTTTTCAATGAAAGATTTTCCCGTGAATCAGTTCTTCTACCGAATATAAGATATTTCTGGGAAAAACGATCGAAATCTAACCCTGTTGGAGTATTCATCATTTGTGATAACGGCCACTCTCACGGTCCATTTTATGGTGAACCTATGAATTACGGACATTTCAACTGTGGAAATGAAGAAATTCCTGTGGTCTTACGACAAGATAAATATTTCTTACATATTCCTTTGATGCAACAATTGCAAAACCACCTGTCTTCACTTCCTTATGACTGTTGGCGTGATTTAAGTTTGGATGGAATTCAAGAATCAATAGGAAGGGAAATCTTGAGAATTAGAAATTCTGGTGATAATATTGAAGTCAAAAGATTCACTCTGACCATGCAAACTGATGAAGTAGCTGTTGGAAATAGTTCCAGTACTTCTATCTTTCCGATATTCATTACAATTAATGAATTATCGACAAAATTCAAACGTGAAAATTTTTTCTTGACCTGCCTTTTTGTTGGAAAAAAGAAACCTGATTTGTCTACTTTCCTTGGACCTGTTGTTGAAGAATTGGATTCTTTGGCTAATTTTCCAATCAATTGGAAAGACTGTGATGGAAATAATATCAAGTCTACATTTCATTTGTCCACCGTGATTGCTGATGCTCCTATGAGAGCTTTCCTCCGATCTGTCCGTCAATTCAATCACATTTACGGATGCGACTGGTGCTTAATCAAAGCTTCATCATTGAATGGTGCCCGAGTATTTCCATATTTATCGAAAAGTCAGATTGAAAAACTTCGAAGGTCTCGACAAGATTTCTTAAATTTTCAATCTACTCAGAGAACCCAAAGACCAGAGCAAGAAAAATTTCATGGCTTGATTGGAAATTCACCTTTATTATCCCTTGATGACTTTGATATTGTAAATGGTTTTGCTGTTGAACCTATGCATTGTATTATTCTGGGAATATTTCGTTCGATATTATTCAAATGCTGGTTAAAAAATGATTTTGGAAGTATCTTTGAATCTGGCGTTGATCTTGGATTGTTCAAATGTGAATTCAGCAAAAGAATTATATCAATTAAAGTTCCTTCAGATTTACCAAGACCACCAAGAGAATTGACAAATATCAAATACTGGAAGTCATGCGAATACGACAGCTTACTATGCTATTATTTGATTCCATCCATTCGCGGACTTTTGAAAGCTCGAGTTGTCAACAATATAACCTGTTTAACAAGAATCTATTCCAAGCTGCACACAAGATTTTCAGATGAATCAGATATTGAAGAGCTGACAAGTTTGATAGACGAATTTCAAAAAGGAGTTTGTGAAATTTATGGACCTGGACAGCAATCATATAATCTCCACATACTAAGTCATCTACCTGAATCTGTGAGATCATTGGGAAACTTTGATTGTATTTCCGCTTATCCGTTAGAAAATCAAATGGGTGTTTTGAAGGATAAAGTTCGTCGAAATTCGTACGCAGCCCAAGCCTTAGTGAGAGTCTTTCTGAATGACTTTAATCATCGAGAAATAATTGCTAAGAAAGTCAATTTTTGGCAGCTGACACCGAAAGAGTGTAAAATATTTGGCGTTTCCAATCGAATTGAGTATTCTTCAAATATCACAAAAATACCAGAAACAGAGACAATCCAATTGAATTCTCTCAAGCAAAAAGTGTTTGAAGCTTTTCTACGCCAGTTGAATCTCACGATTACTGACAAATCTAATCGGATCAAGTTTCTCAAAAGTATCGCAATTGATTGTAAAAGATTCTCCACTAAAATTTATTGCTGCAACAAGACTCGTGATGATTCTACAATCAGATTGAAAAATAGCTTATTCTTCAGAACCGAAGTCATATGTGAATTGGATGGGACAATATTCTTACTTGGATATAAATTTAAAAGTTCACCTTTCAAGCATCGATTTAGAGGATTCTCCAATGAATTTAATTATTCTTTTGATTATATTCACGAAATTCATTCCATAGAAAATGAATTGTCCATCATCAAAATCGAAGATATTCAATCAAAAGCAATTTTCATTGACAGTCAAGCGTTTCATTACAAATATCCGAAAAGCTTTCTAGTTCAGCATATATTGGAAAATAAATAGCTAATTCCTAGCTTCTCGACGCGATTTCCAGATTAAAAACGCTATTCACATATTTCTCGCAGTTTTCAACGTTGATTCTTCTCATTTGTTTAATTTCTCTTCAGTTGTCAATTTTCTTTGATTCAATTGTGTTTGATTTTATTCTCAATTCATCATTAATCAACAGTGATCATCTGAAAATATTCAAAACATCAAATTAAAAACGAAATACTTCAAATTCTTCAATTTAAATATACGCCAAAATATAATTCAACATGGATGTTTCTTTCAACATTGAAAATCATCAAGTTCATGGAGTTGGAACAAAATTTTCGTGCCATTTGGAATTCAATAATCAAGAGATAAAGATCCAATTAGAAAATTCGGATGGAATAAAGAATCAAATCAACTCGAACTGTGCTAAATCAAAATCCGAAATTGTGTATCTTGACGATTCGAAAGATCAACTCTCTGGATCGATGGATTTCGAGATGACAGATCTGGATTTTGAGAGGATGGAAATCGATCAAATTCCGACACAAGCAATTACACCAATGGAAGTAGATTAGTTCCCAGATGATGGAATATATTTTTGTGTACAATTTCACCTTCCAAATGTTTTTCCTTTTTAAAAATTTCATATTTTCAAGAATTTTATATTTTCTCTTAAAAACTGAATTCAGTATTTTCTATTGTTACCATAAATTTCAGCAGACTTGAATTCTCACTCTCTCATTCTCATTCAATCTAGTCTTTTTACTGATTTTATTAAAATCAAATATTGTTCAAATTAAGTCGATTTCACCGACAAATCATAACTATTATATACTCGCGCTGATTGAAATAAATTCAATCAAATTCAAACTTAAAATCTTGTGAGAAATTGTGCCATTCTATTTTTTGTTCAGAATCTATTCAAAAATTTTGTAATCAAAAATGAAACCTTGTTAATTGTATATTTTGACCGTTATTGAGCCAATAATTAAAAGTCAAAATTGTTCAAAAAATTTCAGAATCCATTTTCAGTAAAAAAGCGTTCAAAATTGTTCAAAAAAAAAGCTTCTGTTGACTGGGAACTTAATTAGATTTGTTTAGTTGCTTCAGTTTTCAGTTAATCTAATGGAGTCAGACTTTTGCTTCATTTGAACCAGTTCCAAGCCTTGGTCAATCAATTTAAGGTTTGGGTGAAACACACACCTTAAGGCTTCACCCGGTTAAAGTCCCGAAATCGGAACACTTCGCTTTCAAAATTAAATTGTTCATCAATATTCGGAAATTCAATATTAATGAAAAACTTGACTTGTATTAAAGATTTAAAATGCAACTTCAATTCACAAATCAACTAGTGAAGGATTCAACCGATAAAGGATTGAAATGAATCGATGATTACTCAGTCAATTGAACTCAGTGAATAAATAGAAAATTCTTGATAATTAGAGAAGAAAATCAAGGATTTTTTTGCCTAAAAGAGGAACTTCATTATTTATTCAATGCGTTAATCTGGTATTAGTAGAAATGCAATTTCCTGATATAACAAGAAGTCATTTCTAGTTGAAAACATCCTTTTCAGAATCCAATTGAAATTAAGAGACTGAAAGCAACTATTCCTTATGATTCATTTCAGACAATAGAAACTCATTGTTCGACTATTTTATTAATAATAACATAATTTTGTACTTCTATCGCTATTGAGAATGCTGTTGATTAATATTTCAATAAAAAATGTTTCCTTTTGGATGCTTTTGGACTTGAATAAATTCTGGAAATGTACGTTTAGTCAAAGCTTGGAAAGTGAAAGTCTGCAATTTGCTAAATTGTTTTTTGAGTAAAAGATTTTTTCTGTTAATTTGTTCCTAAATGCTCTTCGAGATTAAATGTAACTAAATCTTGATGAATGATGAAGAAAAATTTGTTAAGTAAAGCTTTTTAGCTAAATTTTGCAGCTCAAATGGTCATTCATAAAGAATAAACATTTAAAGTTTTAAAATAAGTAGTAAATTGTTACGGATTAACTTATTAACTCTTCTTCATCTTCTTCTTATTTATTGGATTATCGAATCAACTCCAATTTTACAAAATAAATTACCACAATCGCCTAACCACAATAATTCCAGTTCACAATTCTAGTCGTTCTGAATTGGGTAAGGAATCAATTTTTCGGAATAAAAATTTATGCTCATTCCCTTTATCTCTTAGAAACCCTTTAACTATCTTTGTTATTTAAATACAAGTTTACCCTAGAATGCAATTCTTGATTTTAACCAATATATTTCTGTGAATCATGTAGCCTAAGAAATCATGGCGATTGATACTATATTTTTAGACTATGAATTACTAATTTATCCACTAATCTAATTATACGAGCAGACAATTGTTACATAATCTTATCATTTATTTGTTATCGAAATGATAACTCGGTTCAATTGTACTGCGTTCTGTCAGGTTTTCAAGTGATATTGGAATCTTGTGAGATGAATAGTTGAGTAAAGACATAATGTCATGCGTAAGATGTTGACGTTTTTCCCTCACATGAGCTAAATGTTTTTCACTGTTTCCAATGTAAATATGTTTTTAGTTAATTTTTTTTATGGATTAGTGACTCTATTCGTGGTCAATTTTGTCGTCAAGTTTGTGCAAAGAGTCCGTGCCTTGCCTCCTGGACCATGGGGACTACCCTGGGTTGGTTACTTACCCTTCATTAGACAAGATGCTTACAATCAAATGACCGAGTTGTCTGCAAAGTATGGACCAGTTTTCAGTTTCAAGTGTGGTCAGTTTGATGTTGTTGTTATTAACCAATGGAAGTTCATTAAAGAAGCTTTGGCTAATGAACACTTGCTTGGTCGACCTAAAGAGACTACTATACCGGGTGTCATTGAACATGCCTCATTAATCGAAATGTCCGGTGAATCTTGGAAGCAACAGAGACGAGTAGCTTTAACTGTACTTCGAGATGTTGGCTTAGGAAAGAGTGAAATGGAAGATTCAATTAGAGACCAAATTAAATCATTTACTGAAGTAATTAAATCTTCTGAAGGCAAACCAATAACGGTAGCTGATAAACTATTCTTGAGTGTATCAAACAATATATCAAAGCTCGTGTTTGGACAAACGAGCGCTTATGACGATCCTGCTTCACTGCTTATGGCGAAGATGATGCCGGAAGCGGGTAAAATGAAATTTTTTAATGTGCAACAATTTATGCCGATCATCGCAAATTTAGTAATCAAATTAAACCTTTTTAATATGACAGAAATTATTTCTCATATCAGAAAATTCGAATCTCATATTCTTGACGAGGTTAATATACACAAAACAAAAAATACTGATGATAATTCAATAAAAGATTACATCGATGGATTCCTCCATGAAATATCCAAAAGACAAAACGAAAAGGATTCAACATTCCATGTAAATACTTTACAACGAAATGCAGCTTTGTTTTACTTCGCTGGATCGGACACAATAACAACTACACTTCAATGGATGATGTTTTATCTAGTCAAGTATCCTGAATACCAGAATAAGATACGAGAAGAAATCAAACAGACAATTGGATTAAATAGACAACCAGAAAATGTAGATCGAAAACAAATGCCTTTTACAATGGCCTTTATTTACGAAACCTTGCGACACTCTTCATTAGTTCCACTAAATATATTAAGAAGAGCAACTGAAGACACCAAAGTTGGAGACTTTTCGATACCTAAAGACAGTCTTGTTACATTCAACTTTTGGTCAGTTCATCGCGATCCAAATTTATGGGATAATCCTGAGTTATTCAAACCTGAAAGGTTCCTCAATGAAGATAAATCTAAAGCCATCAAACCACCTTATTTGATTCCATTCAGTGGCGGAAGAAGAGTTTGTCCTGGAGAGAGTTTTGCTTATCTTCAGTTGTTCTTGTATCTTGTGTCATTTTTACAACAGTTTGAGATCTCAGCTGAACCAGGGAAAGATATTCACTTAGAAAGTGTACAAAATTTCGTTACAAGAAAGAAAGAGCTACCCAACTTGATATTCAAGAGTGTTGATTAAATGTTTGTCGCAATTGATCATTGATGAAATGACTTCAGAAATGGCTCTCAACATAATACACTACCATGACTGGAGTTTGGATCATTGAAATTATGCATTAAAGGTTCCCTAAGAAATGATGGGAATGAATTCAAATACAAAAATATAATAATTGTTTTTAACAAGGATATAAAAAATAAAGTTATTGCTCTTTTTTGATTAATACCAAAAGTAGATTTAATATCGTGAATTAAATATGCTCAATAAAGCCATTCGTTTAATAATATTGTTTAAAAGTCAGGTATTCAATCATATTACAGTCCATAATAAAATCTAATGATTAGTGAAAGAATGATGATTGTAGGTGGTGCCATTCTCGAAATATTGAGGCTAAAAGTTTTTAGGCCGAGGGCCAAGAGAACTGTCGATCAATAGAAAAAAGTGTTCGATCAACCAACCAATGTTCATCAAACATTTTTATCGACGAAAAATGAGTTTCAGATCTCTAGCCTTTACGGTCACAGAAGGCGCCTGGTTTAACTGGCAATCGAAGTCATCTTTTGTACAGAAAAACAAAAATTGCATTTCACTTATTTTCTGATTGACCATCAATATTTACAAAAAAATGACTTTGATAAAAAAATCTGACCACAGAGCTGTACAAAAGGCAATTGAAGTTTCAACTTTGAACTCGATTTTCTCGAAAACTGTCGATCAGAGAAATTTTTTAATAGCACTAATGGGTCCAGTTTTATGCCCCTACAAACCCTCCCTACTCTCAACTCGAAAGGCAGTTTTTCGCACATTTTTTTACTCCGTTCAAAAAAAGTAACATTTCGTTTGAATTGGATGTTTAATGAATATTGAAATTAATATTCATCGGTTAAGCAATTTTTCGGCAAAATTTATGTTCATTCTCTTTATTTCTTAGGAGCCCTTTGAGTATCTTTATTATTTCAATAAAAGTTTACCCTTGAATTCAATTCTTGATTTTATCTAATTGTCGACTTGAAGTATATTTCTGTGAATCATGTAGCCTAAGAAATCATAGCGATCGATATTTTTAGACTATAACTACTAATCTGTCCCATAATCTAATTATACGAGCAATCAATTACATAACAGTTGAAGATAAACGAGTTTTGGAATAAAATGTTTCAGAACTTTTGGAAATCCTATCAAGATCCGGTTCAATAATCATTGACTGAGTATAATTTTATTATTTATTTGTTATCGAAATGATAACTCGGTTTAATTGTACTGAGTTCTGTCATGTTTTTCAAGTGTTGTTGTAATCTCGTGAGATAAATAATTGCGTAAAGACATAATATCATGCGAATGATATCGATGCATTCTTCGAAAAAATATAAAAACTTCATTGCAGATGCGTTTGTTTCTCACACGAGCTAAAATTTTTTTCACTGTTTCTAACGTAAATATGTTTTTAGTCAACTTTTTTTATGGATTAGTGACTCTATTCGTGGTCAATTATGTTATCAAATTTGTGCAAAGAATCCGAAAACTGCCTCCTGGACCATGGGGACTACTGATTGTTGGCTACTTACCTTTCCTTAGACAAAATTCTTACGATCAGATGACCGAGTTGGCGGCAAAATATGGACCAGTTTTCAGTTTCAAGTGTGGTCAGTTTGATGTCGTTGTCATCAATCAATGGAAGTTTATTAAAGAAGCTTTGGCGAATGAACACTTACTTGGTCGACCCAAAGGGTCTGCCATACCTGGTGTCATTGAACATGCCTCATTAATTGAAATGTCTGGTCCACGTTGGAAGGAACAGAGACGAGTTGCTTTAACCACACTTCGAGATGTTGGTTTAGGAAAGAGTGAAATGGAAGATTCGATTAGAGACGAAATCAAATCATTTACTGAAGTAATCAAATCTTTTAAAGGCAAACCAATATCAGTATCGGATAAACTATCCTTGAGTGTATCAAACAATATATCAAAGTTAGTATTTGGACACACATACGCTTATGACGATCCTCTTTCACTGACTATGGCAAAGATACTCGCCCAATCGAACGCGATGAGTTTTTTCAACGTTGTACAATTTATGCCAATCATCGCAAGATTAATAATCAAATTAAACCTTTTTAATATGGGTGAAACTTCTTCTCTTCTCAAAAAATTTGAATCTCATGTTATTGATGAGGTTGATGAACACCGAAAAAAAGATATTGATGATAATGTAATAAAAGATTACATTGATGGATTCCTCCATGAAATGTCCAAAAGAAAAGATGAAAAGGATTCAACTTTCAATTTAGATACTTTACAACGAAATGCATCTTTATTCTATGGTGCTGGATCTGACACGATAGCAAGTACATTCAAATGGATGATGTTGTATCTGGTTAAATATCCTGAATACCAGAATAAGATAAGAGATGAAATTAAACAGACAATTGGATTAAATAGACAACCAGAAAATGTAGATCGAAAACAAATGCCTTTCACAATGGCCTTTATTCACGAATCTTTGCGACACTCTTCATTAGTTCCACTTAATATATTCAGAAGAGCAACTGAAGATACCAAAGTTGGAGACTATTCAATACCTAAAGACTGTCTTGTCGTATTTAACTTTTGGGCAGTTCATCGCGATCCAAATTTATGGGATAATCCTGAGCAATTCAAACCTGAACGGTTCCTCAATGAAGATAAATCTAAAGCCATTAAACCACCATATTTGGTTGCATTCAGTAGCGGAAAAAGAGTTTGTCCTGGAGAAAGTTTTGCTTATCTTCAGTTATTCTTGTATCTTGTGTCATTTTTACAACAGTTTGAGATCTCAGCTGAACCAGGGAAAGATATTTCATTAGAAAAATTACAAACATTCGTAGTAAGAAAGAAAGAGCCACCTAACTTGATATTCAAAAGTGTTGATTAAGCTTCAAGTCGTTACTTTCAAAGTTGATACTGAATAGAATTAGTTGCATAAAATTAAAATTAAAGTACCAAGTCGATCATTGATTGTATGACTTCAAAAATGGTTGAAATGACACAATTTAAGGTTCCCTAAGAAATGATGGGAATGAATTTAAATGTAAAATTATGATTTTTAACAAGGATATTAAAAAGAATGTCATAAAATAAAAGATTGCTCTTTTTGATTAATTTGATACCAAAAGTAGATTTAATATCGTGAATTAAATATGTTTACTAAGGTCGAGCGCGATGCTCTTGAGAAAAGTATTGTATTGCTTAAAAGTCCAAATCTCGCAATCTTGACATTCATTTTTGATCATCTAATTGAATCATAAAATAAACATAACTACGGCCCAATATCATTTAAAACATCGGTATTATTAATAAATTGAATGCAGTAAGATGGGATTTCGTTATAAATGAAAATATTTTATTCGAACTCAAGCGAATTAAAGTCGATATATGTTGATAAATCACAAATTTTCTGATCAGGAGATCATAAGATATGTACAGATATAATCAGCTTGTATATACAGATTTGATGAGCTAATTTTGTTTACATTTACAGAAATTTTTATAAATATACAAAAAGTTAAATTAAATGAAAACAGCAGCAGTTTGGTTGACGGACGGATCAGGATTAACGGATGTTATTGTTGTTGTGTTTATTGGATTAATTGTTGTCATTACTTGGTCATTTACTGTCGTCAAAACCAATTGATGTTGTTGCTGCTGCTGTTGGTGTTGCTGTTGATGGTTATGATGTTGCTGTTGTTGTTGAATATATTGAAATGTATGTTGATGTTGGTTAACATTATTAACATTTGATGCTGGTAAAGTTGTGTAAATAGATGTTTCATGCCAATCACTTATTCCTTGAGGTGATGATGCTTGTGTTGACCATGTTTCAGGTGAGTCTGGACTTGGTGTCATGTAATAAGACATTGAATTATTTGAATACATGTTTTGCTATAAAGAGAAATAAAAATAAAATGAAATTTAGATTAGCTTAGATTATTTGATATCTTTTTAATCCATCTTGAGTAAGATTATTTCAGATCAATTTTCTCAGTGAATTTCTTTTGAACCGGATAACTGAAACTCACAGGAAATAAAGAAAGCATTACTCTATCATCATCTAAATTATCGCCGTCATCTTCATCATCCTCTTCTTCTTAACTTCATGTTCTGAGAAAATTTTAAATATTCAATGTTAAATAATCGTCAGTAAAAAAATAGTAGCTTAGTTATTAGCTTAGCATTAGCCTGATGACTTTTTTCTGGTGGCCTTTTTTTCTCAAGCTCATCTTCATCTTCATCTTCATCTTTATCTTCATTTAACATGTTTCTTTTTCTCTTTCATTTCAAATTTAATTCTCTCCCACGCTTAACGCTTAAAATTTATCTCATTTTTTTAGTTGTGTCTTCGTAAGTTAAATAAGGTTTGTTTAAAATAGTCTTATATCTATGAGACACTCATGTCGTTCTCACTCTTTATTATTGTCTTTTCTTCATCTTTCTTCTTCTCTTTTCTTCTTATTCTCTTCATATTTCAATTCATTTTTTCTTTCCTTTCCTTTTCTTCTTTCTTCATATCTTCTTAATAAATCTGATCATTAATTGATTGTTATGTAATTGAATACTCATTGTAAAATGGCGTTGGAATAGCATTGATCATTATATACCATTTAAGCCTCATCTTGACTAGTCTAGTCTTATATCTTTTCATTATTTTCATCCTGTTTCTTAATAATTTTAAGTTTTCAATGTTAATTGGAAATAAAAATCTAGACAATTAATCAATAATTAACTTTCTTAAAATACTCAACTATAGACATAAATAAACGCCTATCAGACAGATATATTAATAATAGAAATCAACTCAAAACGAGTGAATAATATTTTGAAAAGGATTTTGAACGAGACTTCAATCAAATGAAAATCTTTTGTTCATTTTGTTGACCCTTTTTCTGATCCTATTTGATTTCATTTTTACGAACATTGTCTGGCTCTTATGTGTCTCTGTAAAATGTATTTTTTTTGTAACCAAAGAAAAAAAGGTCGAAATTCCAACAACCTTTTCATTCGCATTTACATTTTCAATAACATTAACCTCTAGGCAACGATTCTCTCTGTATTTATGATGATTACTTTACCCGCGTCCTTCCCTTTCTTTGTTATTTTTCCCTCTTCTCATTTCTTCTTCTTCTCCTTCTTCTTACATCTGAAGACGTTTGTCCAGACTTAAGTCAGGTCAAAACCTGAAGTTACTTTCTTATTGCCTTCTCTTCCAGCTTTCTTACTTTGTGATAAAGAGACAAACAACTGTAACTTGATCGCGAGGAGAGTAGAGAAAGATAAAGTAGACCCAACAACCGACCGAAGGCCAAAGTGAAAATAGGGGGACAAAGAGAAAGAGAAAAAGAAAGAGAAGGGGAGAGACCAGAGAAGAAGAAGAAGAAAAAGTTAGGTTCAATCGGTGGGTTTACCATTGCCATATGCTCTTCGTTAGAGAAACGTAATGAGAGGGAGAGAGAGTAAGTGAGATTTAAAGTGAGTTGAAGGGCCAGCAAGTTATAATTTGATGATGAAAGAAGAGAGGACGATAAGCGAGAAAAGATTGAATACATAGAGTAAGAGAAGAGGAAGAAAGAGGAAGAAAGAAAAGAAAGGAAGAAAAGAGGACAAGTTAAAAAGTATAAGAATATTTTGTTTGAAAAAATGGCGAAGTCAAAGAAAGTGGATTTCATTTTGGCCTTGATCACAGTCACATAATATAATAATAGCTATCAATATAACTAAGTCAATATGTTCTAGTGAAAGTTTAAAATTATATTAACAATTTAATAAAAACTCTGAAATACTGAGAAAATGTTTGATTGAAATAATTCAAGATGACGAAAGTATTCACAAGATTGTATAACGTACCACATTATTTGATGCAGGTACAGCATAAATTGGTTGTTGTTGCTGTTGTTGTTTCAACATATGAGAATTAGATTGATTCTGATGATGTTGGTGTTGATGTTGAATAAGTTGAGTTATTTGTGTTGTTGATGGTGATTTTGGTGTTTGATGAATTGGTGGCGATAACATTGATGGTGTTTGTGGTGAAAGTAAATGTGGAGATGGATTTGTTGAATAACTATGAGGTGGGGATAATGGCATTATGTGTTGTGGTGATGTTAAAGTCAAATAGTCATAATGATTAACTTGTTGTTGTTGTTGTTGCTGTTGTATTGTTGGTTGACTAGTGATATGAGATGTTGTTAATTGTATTTGATGCTGTGAATTATTTACATTTAAATTGTTTCTTTGTGGTAACGTTGGCGGTTGTTGAATATGATGTTGATTGTTTTTTATTTGAGATACTTGTAATAATTGTTGTTGATCTAGTGTTTGTAAAAGATGCTGATCTCCTTGTTGTTGTTGAAATTGTTGTTGCTGTTGTGGTTGTGGTTGTGGCTGTTGTTGTTGATTTATTATTTGCTTTGTTTCTTGAACAACTTGACTATCATTAACCTGTTGATTTTGTACATTTGTTGAATTCTGATGTTGCTGTTGTTGGATTTGCTGTTGCTGATGCTGTTGTTGTTGATGATTTTGTTGTTGAATCTGTGCTTGTAAAGTTGAGTTATTATTCTGAGATCCTTTTTGACCTGAAGTAATAACTTTTGTAGATTCATTTTGTTGTTGTACATTAACTGATTTTACTTTTAGTTGTTGATTTGAATTATAAGGTGAAGCTGAAGTTTTAGCTGACTTTCTGGCTCGGCTTGCTTTTAAAGTACCATTACCCAGATTAGGATTAGTATTTGATCTTTTAAGTCCACTACCTGTCTTAGCACTAGAATGTGATTGTCTTTGTAATGTTGATGAGCCAGTATTTTGACTTATTTTTTGAGGTGTTAAGATTTGTGTTGTTGTTGATGATTGAGTTTGAGTTTGAGATTGGGCTGGCTGGGATTGTGACGTTGTCTTGTTTATTTGTGTCTTTGTCTGAGCTTGTGTTTGAACTTGTGATTGAGATTGAGTTTGAGTCTGAGATTGTCCTTGGCTCTGTGACTGATTATTTGGATCAGATTTAAATGTATTAAGAAGTTCAACAATATCATGATGACATTTTTCAGCGGCAATATCATGAGGATATCTGTCCATATGATCAGTTATTTCTTTATTGGCTGAATGTTCCAATAAAACTTTTACAGCTTGATAAGCTCCTTCTCGAGCAGCTAAAAATAATGGTGTACATTCCTCATTGTCTTGAGCATCACGATTAGCATTATTCCGAAGTAACATTCTTACAACTTCATCATTGTTAGTTGATGCAGACCAATGAAGAGCCGTTCTTCCCTTCTTATCAGATGCATTAACATCAGCTTCAGCTTGAATTAAATCATTTACCATACCATTCAAAGCTAATCGAGTTGCACTGATTAATGGTGTTGTCCCATCATTTGTCTGAGCATTTAAATCAGTTGCTCTGTGTCTCAACAATAATTCAAATACACCTCTTGCATCAGCAGCAATAGCTGAATGTAAAGGTGTTCGTCCAGTTGAATCTCTAGCATTACAATTAGCACCACTGGCTAATAGTCTTTTAGCAGCATCAGCACGAGCAAAACGAGCTGCTAAATGAAGACATGTTTCACCAGTTTTTTCACCAGTTGCATCAATATTTGCTTGATTTGACATTAATTTATCGAAACTATCAATGTGATTGTTTTGTTGCGATTGACCAGAATCAGAATCAATAATTGTCTCACAATAGGGAACTGAATCACCAAAAGCTGAAAATATCATCAAAGGTGTTAATCCATCAGGTCCAACAATATCTTCACTTTTCATTAAACAATCACCAGATTCTGAATTCATCATTGGTGGTGTCATTGGTTCTTCATTATTAAATGTTATCATTTCAGTTTTAATTGTTGGAGGTGGTTGAGGTATTAATTGTGTATCTCCAGTATAAGTTTCATAATGATGTTGAATTTGGGACAAAAATCGAGGGTCAATTGGTTCTTCATAAATTGTCTCAGTTTTTGTTTCCATCGATGCAACACTATTTTTAGCGCTATTATTGGTTAATCTTCCTTCTTTATTATCATAATATAAATGACCATCTAACCCATTAAGATGCATATGGCTACGATGATCATAATGATGATGACCATAAATATTATCTTGATTATTGTGTCGTCTCCCACCTCGAGAAAGTGAATTTGTTTGATTATTAAAACGTGAATTATTTCTTCCATTTTTTGAAGATCTATCAAAATTTCCAGATGCAGCAGCACAAGTTGGTACTGAACGTTGGTAACCAGAATTATCGTTGTTATTGTTATTGACAATTGTTGCAAACCCGTCAGGGAACCAAGTAATTGTTCCAGAAACTTTATTCTTTGTTCTAACAGCAACATGTATTAATAATGCTGCAGCAACACAAGTGATTACCATGCATCCAACAAAAACACCCCAAAATGTGGGTTGTTCACTTGTTGAATTACCAATGGGTAACAAATCAGCAGGATCAATTGTTGATTGTACTTTCTTAATGGACAATGCAGAGACCATTCCTTGTTCACCCATATCAACTTTACGACTCTCCAAAGCAGCAAAAAAGTTTGCTAATGATGAAGCATCTTCATAACAATCAGGATAACATTTACTATTGTCAATAATTAAAGATAAATTGGACCAATATGTACCACTGTTTGTCATAATTGGATGAATCTCTTTCTCTCCAAATTCATTTCTTTTAATACGAAGAATTGAACCAGAAATTCGAGATAAATCTCGTAAAAATTTAGATAATTTAACGTTATCATCCATCAAATCATTATAAGGTAAATCAACAGTTATGAATAATTCACCACGTCCAAGGATTCTGTGTCCATTATAACAATCTAGACCATCCCATCCACATTCACTTGAATCACATCCTTTATCACAATTACCATTACCATAGTTTTCAAGACAATAATAATCATTTCTTTCATCGCATTTTAATTTAGTGGGATTATTAGGATTAAACTTTTTACTACCAGAGTCACTTGCAGTGGGGAAGAAAGCAGGTAAACTTGATTGTCTTGAGCCTTTAGAACCGTCACTTGATGTTGATGTTGATGAACAGTCTTTACCATCATATAAACAATTACGATTATTACATTCTTCATCACATTTTCCATTAGAGAATCTTGACCAACAGTATGATGGTCGATGACATTTTGACCATGGATTACCATTTCCAAGGAAACATTCCTCTTTATTTGGACATTGGGGATGACATGAATGTCTTGAACATTCAATTTCATCATCTTTGAAATCAAAACCTTTGTCTTTATCATCATCATTATCATCGTTTTTAGGTGATGATGTTGATGGTCGACTTTCACATTCATAACTTCCATGTGTATTAATACACTTACCGCCATTTTTACATGGATTAACCCGTCCATTTGAACATTCATCAATATCAATTTCACAAAAATGTCCAGTAAATCCACTTGGACAAGTACATTGATAATCACGGAAATTTGTCAAAATAGTACAAGTTGCTCCATTTTGACATTTGTTTCCAACACAAGGGTTTATTTCAGTTTCACAACGTCGTCCAGTGAATGGAATTGGACATGAACATGTAAAATTATTCACTAAATCATGACATGTTCCACCATTTAAACACAAAGGTCCACCAAAATTATTTGACATCAAACATTCGTTGATATTAGTTTCACAATTAACTCCAGTGTATCCGGGTGCACAAGTACAAGTGTAATGAGATACAAGGTTATTACACTTTCCACCATGCTGACAGGGTGCTGATATACATTCATTTATATCAGATTGACATCTAATTCCAGTGAATCCAGGTGGACAATGACAAATAAATGAACCTGGTTTAGGTCCTGTAGCACAAGTACCACCATTATAACAAGGATTAGATTCACATTCATTGTAATCATTAAGACATCTTGGACCGAAATAACCACGAGGACATGAACATCTAAATGAATTTTCTAAATCATGACAAGTTCCACCATTAGCACATGGATTAGATGCACACTCATCAATATCAATTTCACAAGTTTGACCAGAGAAACCTGGAGGACATTCACAAGTCTAAAAATACAAAAAATATAAGTTTTTATTACATTACGTTATATTGAATAAAAATATAAAAGTTGAAAAGTTTCTCTAAACTTTTTCCACATCATATCATCATATCAAATGAGTTTAAAAGAGTTTATAACACTTACGAATCCAGATATTTTATCATGACAAGTTGCTCCATTACGACAAGGTTTAGACCAACATTCGTCAGTATTTATCTCACATAAAGTTCCACTCGTTCCTTTGGGACATTCACACGAAAAACCATCAACAAGATCACGACAAGTTCCACCATAAAGACATGGAGTTGATAAACATTCATTTATTTGATTCTGGCAAAGTTTACCTAGAACACAATTCATTAAAATCATAAGATTAGCTTAATTAAATAAAAGCCATGAATTTATCAATCAAATATAATGATGTTATCGTAAGATCTATCATTATCTATTCATTAATTGGCTAACAAAGGATAAGTTGGTAGACAATCTAAACATGCTCATAGTAATCAAGAAATTAATAATTGGCATAGTAAAGTTTAAATTGAAAGATAGAATTTCTTTTGCTTTTTCTTCATAATCCAATATCTTGAAATGATTATTTTTTCATCAAATATTTGTATATTTACCTTGATATCCTGGATCACATGAACATGAAAATCCATTTATGTGGTCAACACATTTACCATGATGACAAGGCGATGATGCACAATCATCGATATCAATGTCACAAGTTCTGCCAGTATATCCGGGTGCACATCGACAAGTAAATCCAGCAACATCATCAATACATGAACCACCATTTAAACA